CGTTCCCCCGCTGCAGCCCGTTCTCGCCAAACGCTGGGCCGGTTAGCAGTTTTTCCCGTTTTAGCGATAAACGAAACGCCACTTCCACCTAGACAGAAGAACGACGTTGGGTTTTCATTTACATAGCAGAAAGCAGTTTTTATTTCGCTGTTTTTAAGATCAGCTAAGGAAGAGCTCACTGACGCGGGAACGGGCTGCGCGCGAGCTGCCTTCGGGGGCTGACGCGCAGCTGCAGGCTGCTGCCGGGACGACTTCTGCCGTGGTTTCCTTTGGAGCATCCGTGCTGAAGCAGTCGCTTTGGTCTGATCATCAGGACGCAGTTCCTGGAACTTTTTGTGATTAAAATTAGATGAATACTGGTTACTAGTTGAGAGTATGGAGTATTCACATGTCCAAGATAAAACTGAAAAGAAGTGACAGCGTTTACAAAGAAATCCTTTAAAATTCTATGAAGTAAAATTCATTATATTTAAATAACACAGCATCTGTGGATGTACTGTTTTCTAAACAGTAAAGGACTTACTGAAAGAATATTTCCATCGTTTCCATTTATTTTCAATAAATTTTAAAAGTGAGCAATGATACTTGTTAAAGCTTTAAGGAATTTTCAATAGCAGAACATGAAGTAAAAATAAAAAGTAAAAAAGAGTTACCTGACATAAGCAAAGTCATCCGAAGTTTCTCTGTCTGCAGAAGTGTCATCAGATTGATCGTTACTACAGCCGATGCTGTCAAATGCTTCTGCTTGAAAAAACTGACAGCATTACAGGTGCTCCAGCTCTGCTGGAATGGCAGGTACTACAGATATTTCCTGTAATATAGCTACAGCAGGAGCCAGTGCACTTCCTGAAACCTGCAAGTTTCATGAGAGTAAACTTGTGTTTTTAACAGTACAAGTGTTTTAAAGTGAAATAATCACAAAAGAGGGCGTGAAGTTTTAACAGAAGCACCCACTGAAGGAGATAAATACTCTGACCAAGTACAATTATACTACTACCATAAACTGCATTTCTTCCATTCTATATATGGACCGTCTTTTCAGCTTCATAAAATCCAACTTGGGCTGAAGGCCAAAATCCTTTATCTTTAAGGAGCTTGTCTATAATACTCTGAATAGTATTCTTACATCCTTGAACAGCAAGACTAATTTTTAAGTTACATTTAGGTCCATCACCAATGACCTCAACTCAGATAAAACCATATACTCCTGTTAGCAAAGAGAGAGAATTGGGACTTCGCCTAAGAGAGTCCTACACACGCAACCTCAATGAAGTCAAACAGGCACCATGAGTGCACATAAATCTATGCTTACAGATTCATTTACGGGATTCATTAAACACAGAGGAATATGTGTCTCTGCATACAATTTCAGGAATGAATTGAGTTCATCTGCCACATTGGTAATCACAGTCTGTATTTTTGTTTCTCACCTGTGTTTCTCCCTGTAGTTGACACTGGATTTGCTCTATTCTTTGTTCCTTATCTTGCAGCTGATGCTCCTGCAGTTGTAAGCCTATTTGTTCTTCATTCAACGCCTACAGTAGAAGTGGAGAGGGGGAGGCACAAATCACACCAATAAGCTTGCTTTTATTAGTTTTAATTATTCATGGTAACAGTCATTTTTGCACTATTAAGTCCTGTGAAGATTAATCCTGAAATGAATTCTTAATTGTTTATAACTGCAACAGAAAATTCTGAATAACAAAAAAAATTAGATATTATGGCTGCCTGCTCCTGACATTGCTAAAATAATATAGTAATAATGAGAGACAAACACCGAAATGCAAGGGACAGATCTAGAATTAATCCAGAAAGATAACTGATTGCTGATAGCTTTGATTGCAAAAGGGATCAAGCACTCAAGACCCATATTGAACAATTTTCCAAAAACCAGTATTTTTTCCTGACTCCTAGCCTTATTAATTATTTTTACATACAGAAGGCAACTAATATTGAAAAGATCTTACAGAATGGAGTAAACCTGGGGGGAAAAAAAGGACCTTTTCCTTCATGGTCATTGGCTCCACACAGATCAAAAAAAACTCAGACACAGACAGTAGCTTCTTACAATTGTCTGCACAAGTCTGGAAGTAAGTACTGTAAAACTACAAGATTTTAAAATTTCTGGCTCTGATCTAGTCAGGCGCTTATTTTTTTACATATCCTTTAAAGAACTGCTCACATTCTTACTATTGCAGTACCTGAGTTAAGAAGTCTATTGGACAATAACCCCCCTGAGCAGCCACTTCTCAAAACAAATACTAATACCTTTCTTCAGTGGCATCTCTTCTACAGAATTACCACTTATAAGCCTGTAAAACAAATAAATTCATTAAATACTGATCCCTAAAAACACTGAAACTTCTGAAACTTGACTGTTTCATGTCTAATGTCCTTCACATACTGCAGTGAAAACCTACACCTACACTAGCTTAGAATCTGTCACATTATTTTCATGGGAAGCTTTGTATTCTTTTTAGTTTTACAGAAAGAAGGTTCTTTTTCCTCCTCAGATTTCATGTTTCCAAAACACTAGGGTCATTTAAGTTCTTATTTGCAAAATGCATGATAAACAGTTTCTCCTACACTGGAGACTGGACTGGATTTTTAAAAATCCTTAAAATAGCAACATGTTTGCTAATAGACAGCACCCATGCATAGCTTCAATGAGGCTAGAAATCTCTTTGATTTCACTTTCTAGCTGAAAACCTCTTGTGAAGAGCAGATACCTGACCATTGGTGTAAGGCGAGCAAGAGCCCCCCTCTGCTCTCAGCACTCCCTTCCAGGAAGGGCAGCAGTCATCTGAGAGAGGCTTTCAAACACATCTTAGAACTACATGAACATCAGCTCACAAACATCATCACTAGCTGATTTGAAATCCAGTGATAAATCATCAGTAAAGACATTTATCGTTTATCAAGAGCGGGAAACACCCACAGATATTAACGTTCTTTTTGATAGTCCCAACTTAGAAATCCATATGGCTTACAAGATGAAACGTGGGAGGGAAAGATGGGAATAGAAGATACAGTAAGGGAAAGGCCAAGGTTTTAATTTTCCCTCAACTCTGAAGGGAAGAATTTTTTGCACGTCAAAGATTTGATCCTACCTTTAAAGGAGAAAATCTTAAAGGAGCAAACGACAAACTAAGAGGACGACTTCAGCCAAAAAGTCCTACAGCTTCTCCTTGAAGCATCTTCCCTCTATTTTCAGTTTTAAGATGACTATGCTATTTCTCAGTGTAAAAGTCACCTGTATACGTGGATATCTCTGTCTCTCACAATTCTGTCACACCATTCTTTAGATTTTGCATCTATCAGCAGTATCACAGAACACAACAGTATCTGCAATTTCATGGCTGAAACCTGTGGAAGGAGCGTGGAAAGGAAGAACAGCACAGAAGAATCGCTTGTCTTGGCTGAAGGTTTTTATCAATTCCTGAAATAGAGACATAAACAACTTAATTACAATTTCACATCAATACAACAAACATCTCCAAACAAACTTTTTTAAAAGAATAAGATCAGAAAAACTGCTTTCTTATTACCTTCCCAATCTATATCAAGCTTGCCTACAATTTAAGGTATCTGAGAGCCCACATCATAGATGTGCATAACTGAAAATTAATTTATGCACCATTAACAATCATTTAAGTACCATTTATGGTGCAGTTGACCAGACTGAAAACTACAGATCTACAATAACAACATTGTGTCCTATGACTGGGCACACCTGGCTGGGTTATTACATTCTGTTCAAGCTTCATTTTTCTTATCTATTGACTAAATTGAATCCCTTCTACTGTGCTGACGTTGAGTTGCTTTAAGGCAAAGTATTTCAGTTAGGTTTTATACTGCACCTGACAGCATAATAATGAAATTTGAAATCAAACAAACAACAAAAGAGGATAACTTAACCATATTGTTAATGTTTGCTCAAAGTGTAGGCCCCAAAGGATACTGAGAATCTTACTGGGGAGGGAAATGAGCATACTTTCAATTTATCCTCAGGCAATGCCAGGGCGCAATACAGAAATAAAAGCCCCTGGAGTAAGGCTGAGGAAGTGCCAACACTAAAACGCAACTACAGTTGAAGTACAAACAGCGTAGCTACCTACAGACAGAGAAAACAAGAGCAGTTACTCAAAATGCTATTGTGAAATTAAAAAAAATTGTATTTCAAGCCTAAATTACTCAAACATATGACAACTTATGACATACCTCTTGGAAACACCCTTGATGCCACGCTGAACAGCAATATAACTGACCTATTTCATACATTGCTACTCCTGTGCTACAGCTACATACGTATTTTGCTTAACTAACTAACGGGCCTATGGCTTTCCCAGATTGGAGACCCAAAGAAATTTTGCGGATGTATCAGACTTCCCTTTGGCATTCTTCCTCACACTAAGAGTGTTTATTTGCTATTAATCTGAGTAAAAGTCCTCTCACTAGATAATGGCAACTTTGAGCACCACTCTCCTTAACTCTTATGTATGTGAGAAAATGGAAAAGCTCCAGTATATAAAGTGTTAGAATCATCGGCATCAAAATCAACTCATGATCTCCCCTTGCTTTCAGCTTCCAAAGCCCAACAGCCAGAGCCTCCATCTTCCCTGTTTATGAAATAAGAACTTAATGGTTCTGCATGCTGCATTAAACAATTACAGAAGAGCATTAGCACAATTATATCAATTTTTTTGATTCATTATCTGAATCATGCTGCACTAGTTGGGTATCTGGAAATTGCAGAACATGAGGCCTTGCTATCTGCGGCAGTGGATGGAAGTAGGGAAATAGTAACTATTTTTTTAGATTAAACCTGAAGATCTTCATTTCATTGCTATATGAACGAGGGGGATTTGCATACCGATATGGAGGAGCAGCAACTACAGCTGGTAACACGCACAGACCTCTATAAAATGAAACAGGACTTTAACATATTAATTTTTAACAGCTTCGGCTCTTAACTACTCAAAAACAGTAGTAAAGCAGGTGCTTGCACAGAAACATGAAGAAATTGGCTAAAGGTAGTTGAAAGTAGATTAGAAAAGTTTTATGCCAACACGAGATAAAAGTAAAAACGCTCAATACCAGAACAGGGCAAGAGAAAATTGCCACTATCCTTACAGTTACAAGGATAAGCCTCCCTCTGACTTACAACTGCCATTGCTTCTGTACAAATTCACACACACACACACACACACAAAAGGTATGTCATACTTGAAAATAAAGTAGAATTTCTATGTAAATACTAATTGCCATGGAATTAGTAAGAGTTTTAAAATCTTACAATGGCCTAAAATCAGATATCAGGGACGCAAAGCAGATTCAGCACACAGGAACTTAGCCTGCAATAAACAAAGAAAGCTAACAAGGTACAAAACAAGGCGATTCTTATTTATTATTTTACAGTATTTTACAAGAATACCTGTTTTTGTGAATAAATTGCACAGGGAAAGATGGTGTTGCATAGTAGTAAAATACACCTACCAAATTTGTGCAAAGGCTGCAGATAGATTTGTCTCAATCAGCAATATCCTTTAGGGCAATCTATTGCTGTTTTAATGTCAGATTGAGTTCTTGTAGTGGATCCTTCAGGCCCTCTGAAGTACTTGAAGAAAGAAGGCAAAGTCCGACCGGCTCCATTTGTTAATCCTGGCAGAACAATGCCGAGAGATTTTTCTTTCTCTAATCCAAGAGCAAATTCTCAACAAGTCTCTGCTGTACAGAAGGGTTCTGGAACAAAGATGCTCCTTCCCAAAATATATTTTGGCCAGGCATTCC